ACTCACTCTACTGGGACAGTCTATTCTGCTTTGGTTTACTTTTTTTCCATGATGATTACCAGTTCTAAAATTATCATAACTTATTTGTTTTAATTGTGTATTATATGCACTATCCTGTCTTCTTACTGTTCTAGCTCCAACACCTAGAAAAATGCCTCTTAGATTAGGTACTTGCTGGTGCCTGGGTAGCTCATAGGATCAAGTCCTGCATCAGGCTCCCCACAAGCCAGGAGCCTGCTTCTCCCTCTGCCTATGTTTCTGCCACTCTCTTTGTGTCTCTCATGAATAAATAAATACAATCTTTAAAAAAAAAGATTAGTTATTGCTTAATGAGTATTTACATAATAAAGTAATGTATCAGTGAGGGTGTTTCTCAATATAACATACATCTCTTACTATGAAAAGAGGGAAATAATTAATTATACATTCCAGAACATTATATAAAGGAAAGTTGTTTTTCCAAAGCAGGGGAAAATAATTGTTCCCAAATTATATGGATTTTACTAATTTTTCATGTGTTCATGAATATAGAGTATTAAAATAGGCTATTTTCTAATCCCTTTGTTCTTTATATAATACTTGGGACAGCAGTTTCAAGTCAAAGGTTTCATGTCATAATCTGATAGGAGACTTCATGTCTTAACCAGGTTGATGATCCTTCAATGGATACAAATAATTGTTAAATAATGGTGATCTCATTTAATGGTTTAATGCATTATATTGATACTTTTTAAATTACATATATGGAACATATATTTATGCTATAATCACAGCATATATACAGAGAGATACAGATAATTATATATATTTGTGTTTACATAGAATATATATGATTTTAACAAAGTTTTTAAATGAATTTGTAAGCCCATATGAAATTGTGTACATGAAAATATCTATGTAGCTAAACCATTGTTCTGTTCATAAAATAAATGAGATTAGACTTTGTGTTTTCCTAAACTATGGTATAAAGGAATGGTCATAAAATTGAGATTCAGAAGATCTAATCCAGCTTCTGCTGGTAACTAGCAAATCATTTTGAGCAAATTGTTTTACTTATTAGAAATGTACATTCCATTAGGAGAGGGATTTTTGTCTGTTGTGTGCATTGCTGTATCACCAGTATCTGGTTAAAAGGCTGGGCTGAGTGTAAGTGCTGAACAAGTATTTGTTGCATGAGGTATACTTCTCCAAAATTAGTTTCCACATCTACAAAACAAAGTTCTTTCCAATCCTTGCATTCTAAATGGTATTAAAGCTGTTGGGAATTTAAATAAGACAGATTCGTAGCTAGAACTATATTCAGTTTTTACCTAGGCTTTTATAAAATTGTTTAGTTTATCAAAAATCTTTTTTTTATCAAAAATCTTTTTATTGGATATTTATTAACAAGAATAAGACAAGAGATAGGTATCAGTCCCTATTTGCTGTCTTCAAAAGGACTAAAACAAAAACTTTACAATTAAAAACATATTATTCAAATTCATAAAAGTAAGTAAGTATAAAAGAAAGTTCAATGACCAACTTCTCAAATGATGTTTTCTCAAGGTGTGTAGCATTTACATTTTGGAAGCTATTAAGTTTTAAAACTGTTCCAAGAATGTTAGGGCAACCTGTAAATATACCCTTCTTTAAGAATACTTGATGTCCCAATTAAAGAATATAAACGAATTAACAGATTCTACTTTTTTTTCATTCATTGAACAAATGTGTAATAAGTGACAACTCTGTGAAACCCTGTGTTAGGAAATGATAGCCTACTTGATGAGCCTACTCTGCACCTGTCACCTGCACTTCCAAGTGTACCCAGAGCCCTGAGATCTCTGGTGACACAGCCTTTTGGCCAGAGCCAACATCAACATTGGAAAGACTACAGAGGAAAGTTGTGCAGGACCAAGAAGACAGGGGCCCTCTCCTGACCACCATTACTCACAGCCTCCCCACCAGTCACCACTACCAGTCCCACCAGGGGTGTTTCTTCCCTGTTCCCTCATGGATTGTGTTGTCACTTCCTCCACACTGATGATTAATGAAACCCTCACCCCTTTATAATAAAACCGTTGCTGCTCTACCTTGTCACTTTTTATACCCTCCCCCATCCTACCTGTTTTTTTTTCCATAGCAATTATTACCAAGAATATATTTATTCGTCCATCGTCTTGATTGTATACACACACTAGAATGTCAGCTCCATGATAGCAGGAAATTTGTCATTCATCATGTCCCCAGCACCTAGAGCAGCGTGTACATATCACAAGTACTAGTAAATATTTGTTGAATGGATGGATAAATGAAAAACTGATGAATGAATGACCTGAACCTCCCCACTATTGATCTTAACTGTTCTCCTCCAATTTCCAGCATCATCTCACCATTTAGATTTAAAATTTGCCCTCATTTTCCTAGCTGTGATAGTCCTTGTTCTCAATAAGAATTTGGTGTTCAACCCTGGGTTTATTGCCTCCTGCTGCTTCAGGGAAACACTTGCATAATTCCACTTAGCTTGCTTTCATAATACGCCCTTGGGGCTTGCCTTTACTCTGCAAGTGGAATCTAGTCAATATGTGTGTGTGTGAATGAAATGTTGTTCTACCATAGTGACTTCATAAAGGAACTACATTTTGAGAAGGAGGCACAATATACAAACAAATAAATATATAAATAAAAAACAGCATTAGAATGTCCATAAATGAATTCACTGCATTCAGTAATTGTACAAATTCTACGAGGATGAGTCAAATAGGCAAGACAGAGACTAGAAGGGTTTGGAAAAGTAGAGAATCCCTGAGCCTTAGTTGGAAAAATGGGTACATCCATATGAATGTTGGTAGCAGTGATTTAAATTACTATAATGTTTCTATTTGGCGATTTAGAAATAGCTATTAAGATTAAACAGATTTCCTATCCTTTCACTGGTATTCAACTTCTGGAAATTTGTTCTATAAAAACTCTCCTGTAACAACAAGAAACATCCCAATGCTCCTCAGTTAGGAGATGGCTTAATTATGATGCCACCTAATGGTGCAATCATTAAAAAAAAATAGATATAGACATGTTTGTATTAAGGAATGAGGAAAATGTGTGATCTTGCTATTGAGTTTATACCAATGTTCTAGATACTAAGGATAACAGTGAGCAACATTCACAATGTCCCTCTCCTCATAAAGATGGCATTCTAATTGGGGAAACAGGCAGCAAACAAATAGAAATTTAATGACAGAGCAGTGCTATAAAGAAATGTCAAGCATAGCAAGGAGATAGAAAGTGATAAGCATCAGTAAAAGCCTCTCTGAGGGGGTGACATTGGCACAGAGACTTGAATAAAGTGAGGGGGCAAGGCAAGAAAGTCAGAAGGGAAAGACAGGAAAGCAGCGTGCTTGGAGTGTTCAAGAAAATGTGGGAAGACTGTGTGACTGGAGACAAGTGATCACAGGAATGAGAGGCAGTGTGAGATCTGAGAGGTGAGCAAGGGTTAGGTTATGTGGCATTTTATGGGCCATAGTAACAGTTTTGGATTTTCTTTTAATTTTGTTAATAGAAAAGCACAAACTCTTAAGCAAGGGAATGACATATTCAGATTTATGTTTTTAAGAAACTCCTGTGGCTCTTATGTAGAGAATATTCAGCATTCTGAACATAGTATAACCAATTTTTTTATTAAATAATCTACAAGATTACAGTGACCAAAAAATCAGGAAAACATGCAGTGTTTCCTATAGTTTATTTATGAGTGTTTTGAAGCATCTGCTTTACAGAGGCTGTATGAGGGTTGAAGAGTTTGTGTGTGTACGCACATACATGGTTATGCATATAGAGCTTTTTTCATATATTAATGGCTATTAAATGATACTATATGAAAAACTGAAAGAAAACCAGAAATTCATATCAGATGTGTGGATGGAAAATGTGTGGCAGGTATTAAAAGACTAAGTGTTTGTCTAACCTTTTGATATTGCTTTAATCAAACAAATGTTTTAGAATTTAATTTCCATGCTATGAATAGAATGCCAGTTAGTGCATTTCAAAGTGGCTTGATGAAGTTGCTCTGAACTTAGAGTTTATCAAGAAAATGATCAGCCATTATAATTCACAATACCAAAAGAGACTCACACCCAAAACTGCCAGACAGAAGTCACGCAGCTGAGACAAAAAACCAATGAGAGAGCCATAAAGGCTTGGAGTTAAGATATACCTGTTCTACCTCCATAAAGGCACATGCCTCCTATGTGCCATCTCAATAAAGAATATGTATGGTAAAGTGTTTCGAAAATCATTAAATAAAACACTACTGTTTCTCTTTATGAGATTGCTGAGAAACGGCCAAAACTGGTTATTTTTCATATTTGCTTCCCTGTGTCTCTTCCCCTTTAAAGGACAAGGCCTGGGGCAGCCCCGGTGGCTCAACGGTTTAGTGGGTTTAGTGCCGCCTTCAGCCCAGGGCGTGATCCTGGAGTCCCGGGATCAAGTCCCACCTCGGGCTCCCTGCATGGAGCCTGCTTCTCCCTCCGCCTGTGTCTCTGCCTCTCTCTCTCTCTCTCTCTCTCTCTCCTCTCTGTCTCTCTGTCTCTGAATAAATAAATAAAATCTTAGAAAAAAAAAAAAGGACAAGGCCTGTTCATTTAGGTCTGTTCAGAACACTCCAGATTGGGAAAAACCTTTTGTTTTGTTCAGCATTATATTTCCACATAAGACAGTTCAGTAGCAAATCGTTTTTCACTGCAGTTGATAACTTGAGCAGCAATAAGTCAATAAATTCATTTTGGTTCACTGAGATTCAAGTAGTCTCTGGAACTGAGGCAGTGGTCTACCTTCCACTGCTACCCCTCTTGGCCAAAGCATATGTTGGCAAAGAGATTTAGCTAATCAGATTATTCTCTTAGACTCTCTTTTTCCGAGTAAGCATTTAATTTTATGCATAATTATTTTATTTGCAGAATCAATCAGTACTCAGGGAGAAACTGTCCAGACAAAACTTAAGAGTTTCTTTTACTCTTTCTTGTCAGAATCAGGCCACAAGAAGTTAAAAAGTACCATCCAGAGAAGCACAGAAACAGGAATGGCAGCTGAAATGAGGAAGATGGTAAGGCAACCAAGTCGAGAGTCTACTGATGGCAGCATCAACAGTTACAGCTCCGAGGGAAAGTAAGTGATATTAGCACCTCTGTATGGCTTTAGGACCATGGTTTGTGTAGTCATGGGTAAAATAACAAAGCTGCCAATGGTTATGGTACAGATTCTTTATTTACTAGGAGTTCAACCCTTCTAAAACAGCCTTATCTCTTGTGATACGTATGCAGGGACACACCTCTCCTGGTCACTCAGAACTTTCAAAGGTATGAAGAAAATCTGGGCTAACATGAATAAAGTGATCTCCATCATCCCAAAAAGTTCAGAACAGTCCATAACCGGATGTTTATTGTAGAATTGCCACATTTAATGTATTATTTCATGTGAGGAAACTCATTGTCGGGCTAAGACACTAAAATCTGAATTAAAATTTAGAAATGAGGGACACCTGGGTGGCTCAGTGGTTATGTGTCTGCCTTCAGCTCAGGGCGCAATCCTGGAGTCCTGGGACCGAGTCCTGCATAAGGCTCCCTGCATGGAGCCTGCTTCTCCCTTTGCCTATGTCTCTGCCTCGCTATCTCTCTGAGTCTCTCATGAATAAATAAATAAAATCTTTAAAAAAAAATTTAGAAGTGAGAACTAATTTCCTATATTCCTACTTTTCTCCAGACTGTTTTGGGTTCTGAATTGTTGGAAGTCTTACACTCTCATAATAGCTACTTAAATTTTTTTTGTTTTTAAAAACATCACTAACTCATCTTTATCTTAGGAAAACAGCCCAGAATTTATCTTACTCATTATTTTTCTGGTTAAAGAGTTTTAGTTATTTTGAAATTAATTAATCTTGAAAAAAGTATAACTCAATTTGTGTTTTGCTTACTTGCTTTTCCATAAAGATCTTGCAGAAAACCTTGCTTTTTTCTATGCTTGAGAATTTTTCTGATAAAACCAAACTTTTACTGAGGTTATAGATCTTACAACTAAGTAATCATTATTCTGCAGTGGGTTACTTGGGGATTGACTGTGTACAAATTTTCTATATTCATTTATTGCCATTCAAAAATCTCATTTACCAATCTGAAAGTAATAATTTATTTTACTTTACTGGCACTTTTTTATTTTGCTCAGAAAATGAAATAAAATTATGCCAAGTTGTTCATGACATGCTTTACACTAGAAAGGTGTGTTTATTTGATTAAATGATTGGTATGCACACTCCCAACAAGATATAGCTAAGACCAAAAATAAGCAGGAACGAAAATTATGGAGATGAACTTGCTGACAAAATGCCAGTATTGATGAAGTATTATAATGCAATGTGCAAATGAAAGACCAGAGACATTATTTTCTGATATAAAATTAATAAATCAATATTTATCTACATTGTGGATAAACCACTTAACCTCTCACAGATTGATTTTCATAGTCTCTGGATGTCATAATAGTATGTCCCCCCACCCATTCCCTTGATTGTGAGGAAATAATATGTGAGAAAGTATACTGGAAACAATAAATCTCTATAGATATGTGCTTATTCAAAAAATCCTTACTGAAGTCCAGCTACATAGCAAGGATGGTTCTTGTTGCCCAGGATACATCAATAAACCAGAAGAGCATAGTCACTCCCTGCTGGAGCTTCAGCCCAGGGAATTCAGGCAGTCAAAATGTAGTAAGAAATGAACATAGTCTAATCAATTCTTTTCCATTTGAACTGAATGAAAATCTCAGATAATATAAAAATGTAGTTCTCTAAAAAAAGAATAAATTAAACAAGTTTTGCTTGTAAATAAGAACTTGTACTGTACTATCACATTTGTTGAAGAAATTATCAGGCATTTTTTAAATTTAGCATAAATGTTACTTAATGTTCATGAACATTTATGTGAAATTCATTATATAAAAATTTGCATCTTATATTTTATGTCAGCAATATGTTTATGTAGGGATTTGTATTTGTAAATGTCCAGAAAACTTAGTATATCAACTGTAGCTAAGCCCTTCTGAATAGAATATCAGCTCTTAACTTGAGAATTTATTTAGACCTTTTCTCAATCAGTGCTGAGCTTCATATACTTGGTTCAGAGGCAATGAATGCAAAGAATCAATGTAAACTGTCTAATGTTTATGACTCATGAAGAGAATTAGGAGTCAAATGGAAGCTAATGAAAAGAATTTTAAAAGATCTAACATTTTGATTTCTTTTTTCTTTGCTAATAGCTTAATATTTCCTGGAGTACGACTAGGAGCAGACAGTCAATTCAGTGATTTTCTTGATGGATTGGGACCAGCTCAGCTAGTTGGCCGTCAAACCCTTGCCACCCCTGCAATGGGTAGGAATTATTTTTTTTTCCATAAGAAAATTGATGTTTCATGATTGACAAGGTCATTTAAAGTATCATAATAGTGGGCCTCTGGGTGGCTCAGTCTGTTAAGCATCTGCCTTTAGCTCAGATCATGATCCCAGGATCCTGGGATGGAGTCCCCCCACATCTGGCTCCTTGCTCAGCAGGGCGTCTGCTTCTCCCTCTACCCCTCCCCATTGCTCTTGCTTTTGCACTGTCTCTCTCTCAAATAAATAAATAAATAAAACATTAAAAAATAAAGTATTATTAATATAAGCGAGAAGCAACATTTTAGCAGGGGTATTGCTGGTTTCAAATGACTATTCTAATTTCTGATGCCTGTTTCTAACTTAAGACATGATGCAAAGTGAATAAAGTTAGTCATAAATCTTTGACAAAGAAAGGTCTCAAAACATTTTCCTCATACACAACATTGCTCAGAAAGTTACCAGAGGGTATACCTCAACAACATGAGCTAGGTGAACTTAAAAAATTACATAATCATAATTATATAGTCTAATATTGGGATAATGACAAAGTGTCAAGTATATGGTGGGAGTAGGAAGGGAGTGAGGGAGATTGAAGATAGAAGCCAGTAATAATATCTAAAACTGAAAAATAGGAAAATACCTTATAAGTATAGTATTTAGGGCAGCCCAGGTGGCTCAGTGGTTTAGTGCCACCTTCAGCCCAGGGCTTGCTCCTGGAGACATCAGGCTCCCTGCATGGAGCCTACTTCTCCTTCTGCCTGTGTCTCTGTCTCTGTCTCTCTCTTTCTCTCTCTCTCTCTGTGTGTCTCTCATGAATGAATGAATAAAACCTTATATATATATATATATAAGTATTTTTATTTTTATTATAGTATTTTATTTTTATTATAGTATTTTATAATATATATGTATACACACACACACACATATATATATATTATATATAGTATTTAGAAATAGGGAAATGCCAAGTCATAAAATAATAAGTCAGATAAAAATATTGAAAATTCTGAAGGCAGTGACCTTTGGAAGGCTGCAAGTTGGGAGAGAGAATGGGAATCTTTTATACTAATAACAAGACTTACGGAACAGTTTGACTTTTTAACTATGTGTCTATGTCATTAAAACAAAAACAAAAGAGACATCTGGGAGCTGAGGTCTGAAACAGAGTTATAAAAAACTAATGAACAATCCAGAGCCACAGAATTGATCAACTGACCTGGCAAATAAAGAGAATTCACAACTGAGAAAATAGAGATGATTTAACTAAGAAAAAATTAGAAATAAAAAATTCTGTATTAAGAATACAGAATACAAAATCAAAATTCTGTATTAAGCTGTTCATTGTGGTGCTATTTATAATAGCAACAACATATATAACCTATGATAGATAACCTACCTAACCATAGATATTTCCATCAACAGGGATCTTGTTAAACAGGTAATGACATGCCCATTCACTGGTCCATATAGTCAACTGAGGATATATGGTCATGATAGAGATAGGTAGGTAGGTAGGTAGGTAGGTAGGTAGGTAGGTAGGGAGAGAGAAAGAAAGGAATGAAGGGAGGAAGGGAGTTAATTAAAGAAAGAGAAAGTATTTATGAGGTTGCTAGGATGTTCACCCAAACATTAATAGTGGTTTTCTCTAGATAATGAAAATATAGATAATTATACTTTTTTTTTACTAAAAAGTATTATATACTAGGTTATATAAAGGATAAGAAATCTTACCAGACACCTGGCTGGCTCAATTGGTTAAGCTCCTGCCTTCGGCTCAAGTCATGATTCCAGGGTCCTGGGATCAAGCTCCATGTCAGGCTCTCTGCTCAGTGGGGAGCCTGTTTCTCCCTCTCTCTCTGCCTGCTGTTCTTTCTGTTTGTGCTCTTTGGGGAGCCTGGGTGGCTCAGTTGGTTGAACATCTTCCTTCAGCTCAGGTCATGATTCTGGAGTCCTAGGATAGAGCCCCTCATTGGGCTCCCTGCTTAGTGGGGAGCCTGCTTCTCCCTCTGCTGCTTCCCCTTCTTGTGCATGCTCTCTCTCTCTCTCTCAAATAACTAAATAAGTAAATCTTTTTTTAAAAAAAGAAAAATCTTACCAGAGTATAAGAATAACTTAAATACTTGAGTATTATTGTAATTAAGTGATTTTTAAACTAATTTGAGATACTTATAATGTGGATTAGTACCAGAAAAATAATGAGAAACATTTCAAAACCTGATTGGAGGCAGGGGAATAAAAGTGAAAGCTGGGGTTCTAAGTATTAGGGTTTTTATCAAGATCATGAGGATCATGGGGTCTGTCGTATACCTCTATTTTTTCAACTCTGTGTAACTGCAAAGAAACTGAAACATTTTGTTTCCTTTCCACTTGCAGGTGACATACAAATTGGAATGGAGGATAAAAAGGGCCAATTAGAAGTTGAAGTTATTAGAGCACGAAGTCTCACGCAAAAACCTGGTTCCAAGTCTACACCTGGTAAGGAAAGGTGGTACTGAGTTTGGACAAGATAATCTGACATAAGCAAAAAAAATCAAAATATTTGCTGCACTTGAATTCTATATGCTCCACTTCACATCATCTGAATTATTAAAAAAGCAGCTTTTCTGTATTCTTTGATTCTATAAAAACGGATTTGTGTTTTCCTTGCACAATTATTCTGCAGAAAGGATAAGGAAGAGTATTATCAAATTAAGAAAAGTTTAGTTATGATTGTTTCTTAGCTTGTGTTTTTTTTCTGCACATTCACAAATGAAAAGGAATTTTTTTTTTTTTAGTTCTAAGCATAAAAAGGGAACAATGGGCTTTAAGTTATACACCTGAATTGTGAAGCCAGCTATATCTCAGGTCAGTCAGTCTTAGATTAACTTTGCATACATTTACTTGAAATGAAGAAAATGCCTAGTGGTAACATAAGAGTTTTAAAGAATAGAATTTATGGAGCACTGGAAATTTAAAATGATTTAAATAATCAATGGGGAACTTTTCAATAAACATCTCTAATTCTCTAATAAAGCATTCTCCAAATCAATTTCACTGAAGGATTAACTTCTTATATGTTAAATATTACTTTGTTCAGCTCCATACGTCAAAGTATATCTTTTGGAAAACGGGGCCTGTATAGCCAAAAAGAAGACAAGAATTGCACGAAAAACCCTTGATCCTTTATATCAACAGTCCCTGGTTTTTGACGAAAGTCCGCAGGGTAAAGTTCTTCAGGTTGGTAAAAGTTTGAGTTTTTACATTATAATGTCCAAATTATTCATATAAACACTGAAGAGGTGGTAAAACATGAAAAGAATAAATTTCAGTAAGGAGAAATGTCTAACATCTTTGAGTAGAAAAAGACAAATTGTTAAATTACAGTATAAACAATATGTAGTATTAAAAATATCTGATGAATCTAATGGAAAACATAATTTTTATTTTATCTCCCTTTTTTTTTTTCCTTCTCCCCATCCTCTCCTTCCGTTTTTGTCCTGCTCTCACACCCCCTCTTCTCAGGCCAGATAGCTGGCTAGGTAGGTAGGTAGATAGATAGATAATCAAGGCAAATGATGCAATGATTTATTGAGCATTGCTATGTGCCAGACATGGGATACAAAAAGGAAGAAAGGAAAGAAAAAGAGAATATTCATGACTGGTGAATATCGGACATATTAAGTAATTCTATTACATTACTTATTTTTTTTAGATTTATTTATTTTAGAGAGAGCAGGGGGGATGTGCAGAGGAAGAGAGAATCCCAAGCAGACTCCATGCTGAGCACAGAGCCCGATGCAGGGCTCCATTTCACAACCCCAAGACCCTGACTTGAGCCAAAACCAAGAATCCGATGGTCAACTGACTGCACCACCCAGACACCCCCATACATTCTTTTAAACATACACTTCTTTTAAACATTTTAACTATTGTGTGCATAAAATATCATAATCCCCATTATACAGATTATGTATGAGGATCACAGAGATTAAATAATTTGGCAAAATTACTCAGTAAATTGAAAAGGCAAGTTTCAGCAGTCCTGTAAGCTGGTGAATGATTTCAGTTGAGAACCTTTATAGATGACCAAAGGATTGGAAAACAGAACCTAGTAGGAGTAAGTGTAATGGAATGCTTATCTGATGCCAATAGGAGTTGACCCAGATTGTACTAACTGCCTGTAAGCAATAGGACTTATTAATCATCTGATCAAATCAGAATAGTCAGGCAGATGCTCAGAAGGCACTGGCTTACAATTATTTTTCAACCTGCCACATCACTAACAAGTACATAATGTAAAAGAAATGTAATGAATGTCCTCATTCTTTGTACATAATCCGTGATCATATACATACATACACATGCTCCATCATCATCCATATACACACTCCTCTGTACACTGAATTATGTCGTTTTGCTCTGCTAATTTATACAAATTTTAATTTTTATTTATCTGGCCCTGCACATGACTTATTAGATAAGATAGGTAAATAAACTTACATATTTACTTCTTTAACATGGTTTATGTAGATAATATCCCTCACTGATAGGGAAACATTATCAAATCTAAAAATTATCATATAGTGTCTCTTTGAGCACTTTAATGTTAGTATCTTTCTATCTGTTCTTCCTCTTTGGTGTCAGTTATATTCATTTCCTCTGCTTCACTGATTGGCCCACTTTTACAGAATAGTTGTTTTTAGCCTTCAAATATGAAAAAAAGAGCCCTTCAAGTTGTATGGCATTTCTCTGTCTCTGCAGGTGATCGTCTGGGGGGACTATGGCAGAATGGACCATAAATGCTTTATGGGTGTGGCACAGATCTTGCTGGAAGAACTTGATCTCTCCAGTATGGTAATTGGATGGTACAAGTTGTTCCCACCATCATCCCTGGTGGATCCCACACTCACTCCCCTGACCCGCCGGGCTTCCCAGTCATCTCTGGAAAGTTCAACTGGTCCTCCCTGCATCCGCTCATAGTGAACTCATACAAGAGTCATTCCAGTGAAACTCTACCTTTCAGGATAATAATCTGAACCAGATATTTCATGATCAAAAGCATTGTTGGAGACAGACAATCAACTTGTGTTTTGCCTGTAGTAGTTTTCAATAATATGTCCCACTTGTTGTTTAGAACCTGGCTTCATATGACAGAACAAGACAGTCTATCAAATTATAGTAAGAGTCAACATGCTAGTGAGAGTCACTGATGCTTCGAGCAAACAGAAAAAGAGGAAACGTCAAATACACACACACAAACACACACACACATACACACACGCGCGCACCCCAAATTGAACAAACTGGAAACTCTCACTCTGAAAAGTTGTATTTTACACATTTCTGCACAGACCACAAGCAGTGTTATTTCCTTGGTGTTTGAGAAATTTTGTTCTTCTGTGTGTTTTATTTGTGTATTATTTGTTGGGTTTTGGTTTCTTGATCTGTTTTGTTTTATTTTTCACTGTATTTGTTATTTCCACTAGTTTTTGGATATGTCATGACAGGCCTCATGATGCTTACAAAGACCTTTCCTTTCTTTTCCCAAAAGCACCAAAAAAGGGCTGAAGCAGTCTCTGTGGCATCTCCCCAAAGTGTTCAACAACTAGGCAAGATGAGGCCAATGAAGGGTTTCACTGGCTTTCATTTTATAATACTTCAGTCTTATGTGTGGAAACCCAGAAAACAAAAAGTTATCTTCTAAAACAAATAATCATAGAATCACTTTTTTTAACGAATAATCTGTTTACATTCTCAAAAATTAATTTATGTTTTCCATTGTTCTCCATGGAAGATTTTTAAAGAAGTCAACCTGCAACAAATGCTGGGAATTAAAACTAACCACATAACTGTACTTTGGAAACTCTCCTCATAATAACTTCTTCTTTCTGATATCCCCCCAAAAAAGTATATGCTCATGTGTATAAACCATACTTTTGACTCCCCAAAATGGTGACTAAAAACTAGAAACAGATTTGAGCTGAAAACACTTACAGTTATGCCCAGGCCTCTCGGCCATGTCTCCACGTAGACATACCCATCTGCCCCAGAAAGAGCATGGTATGAGCTGTCCAGTATTCCACTGGAAATTCCAGTTGAAATATTCTGCACTAAAGTGATGTTTTTATCAAATTTTAGTTTACATTTCTTTGAGATCGATGCAAGCACAAAGCTTGATTTTTTAATGCAAAGTATCTTACTTCTGGGGTGGGGGGAATAAAACAGTCAAATTTCAACTTGCATTTTCTTCATTTGAGTTTTTCTTGGCCTTGAATTTCCCTTGTGACATTCTATATAAGTGCTACAAACTGCAGACTCTGCAGATGCATTGATATGTTCTCCCTCCTTTTATGAGTCATTCAGTTTTTGTGATCACACAAATAGAGCAGCATGACTTGGAACTGTTCAAAGCTGCATGCACGTTTTGTAAAAAAAAAAAAGAAAAAATAAAAAAAAGAAGAAGAAAAAGAAAGGAAAAGAAAGAAAAAGAATAAAGAAAAGAAAAAATGAAAAAAAAAGGTTATTTAATAATGTATGTTAGTTCCACCTTAGGCCAGCTTGTATGTTGCATGTACTTGTACAGTTTGCTCGTTAATTACTCTACTGAAATAACCAAGAAATCTAAGCCATCCATTTTTGTTATAGACATTTTGCAGGTTTTAGCCATACTCCGTCTGTGAGTTTGGGGTGAAATGTCTATAGATGGACTTTATTTTTTACCCTCTGGAAAATGTGATGTAGTATGGACCAAATTCCTTCTAATTAATATTTTGGTGTAGATTCCTACCGTGGGGCTGTACCACATGTAGACACTGTGTTACACACTAGGTTTTAATCCATAGACATACTGCCTGCACCAAGTGAATTATTTATTATTATTTACACATACCAGAATTATCTGCCCATCATTCCACAGGGCACAGATTGACCACTATACTCACCATGCTGAGCAGGAAGAACTGAAGCATTGGTGCACTTCTACTAGATTCCGTTCTGTCTTAGTGGCCAACAATCAACTAATTATAATTGGGTAGTATCTTTCTATTTTGACCACTTGTCTTAACACTCCCCTGTGCTTTTAAAATGAACAACTCATGTATGTAAACATGTTTAATAAAATTTACTTTTCATGTCAGTTGGTAGCCATCTGTGTTCTATGTTTTGCCAGATTTCCATTGTGGGTTCTATGGTACAAAATGGGAGCCAGATCATGGGAAAGGGAGGCTGAGATTTGTTGTCTGCTGTGGGCATTTGACTTGACTTGTCACTGCACTATATCTGTCTTAATCTATGCCCAAAGGGTACTTTGCATCACATACAAGTTTTCACTTTGTTAGCCTGTCTAAGTGAACACATGACTATACTTCTGAAAAGTGGCATTATTAAAAACAATAAATCTCGGTAAGAATCAAATGGAAGGTTGTTTTTCTGCTGCTGTTTGAGTGTGCTAATAAAAGAGACAACTCTCTTGTCCAATTGCCAAATCATTTCCAGTTATGTCACATATCAGAATATTAACTCCCGTGTCTCTCATCAAAGCAACCTGTCTCCTCATTCCATCTTTTCTTGAACTCCTGACTGATTTATAAATCTTTGCCTTAGATGAGGCCAACTTAACAAACCAAGCAATCCATTAAATTATCTTTAGTAGGTTCTTAGGGAATAAATATGTATTCACATATAGTAGATGAATCTTCATAAATAATATGTTAAAAGAGAAATTATTAGCTGTCTTAATTTAATTTTAAGACTCTTTGCTCCTCCAGAAGTGTGTTCACGTATTTCATAATTATCCTCACAAAATACTTGGTAAGCAATAATTTCATATTGCAGTTTATTTGTAGTAAATCACTGTTAGGATCCAGTCTCTACTTTTTTTAAAACCCTTAATATTTTTATAGACCACACTGGCTTTAACGTAAAGCAAAATAAACACAACTAAATCAGTATCAAATTTGAGACAATAAAGCAGTGTGAGACATGTCACTATATCAGTTGTTTAAAGTTTTTTAAACAGTTGACTGAATTTTACCCTATTGAGTCAACCAGTTGTTTTGTCTACAAGACATGAAATTATCTGTTAGATTGGGTCAAGAAGACAAAAACAACAGATTAGTTCAGTTTACATCAAGCTGTCAAAGCAGAGCTGTTTAACACATAACGGGGGGAGGGCAAGGGCAAGTCTGACATTAAAACAGGAGGCAACTAAATACAGCCTTAAAATTCTTTGTCTAGACAGAGAAAAGCAGAAATCTCTCTTCAAATCAGGAAGTCTGCCTGGCATGATGACTTCAGGGCCTACAGTGGTAGAGAGTTAGTAACCATGAGAAAGGCAATTTTGCTGTCTTCATGGGTTTTTTGCTGACTTTGACAACTTAATATCTAGAAATCCCAGCCGGAGATATATGTTCTGATTATACTTAACTAACATTTTTAAGGGCTTTGTTGAGTACTAGATGTCATGTATATTTACTTGGGATGTATAAATGAAAAACAAAAGAAAAACAAACAAACAAACAAAAAAACCCTGACCATCTTAAAGGAGGTCTTTATCTACTAAGAAAGATCATGACATAAATAATTACAGTAATGTATTTTCATTTGTATGCAAAGGGATATGGGATTGCCTTTAATTCTCACAATAGCCCTATTAAGAACTCTTATAACCCTATTTCAAGTGTAGGATCTGTGGCTTGGAGAAGATGAATAACAGGCCAAAGGTCACAGCACTGGTTAGTGATGGAGCTGGGATATGAACCAAAGTCTGACTCCAGAGCCTGCCCTGCTAAACACTTTGCATCCTCCATTATGCCCTGACAGTTGAGCTAGATCAACTTCATTTAAGATTGAAGAGTCCATCAGATGGGAAAGAAAGGAAAGAATTCTAACCCAAACCACTCTGCCTTAATGCAACTTCCAGCCAGTTCTAAGTACTTTTGCCATAAGCATCTTTACCATAGACCTCTTGTCCACAAGTATTTTTGCCGCAAACCTTTTCACCATATAAATAAAACTGGCTATCAGGCAATTTCACTCTATAACATAAAAACAACAACAAAACTGGTTGATGGTTTGATTTGACTTTGTTGGTTTCATCAACTGGTTGATAGTTTCTCCATTGACATAGTATTTTCATTTTTATACTATGTAAATCTTAGCTCTCATAATGGTCTATTACAATGGTATGGAATTTTGAACCCATAGAACTTTAGGACATCTATCAATGACAATATGTCAAGAACAATATGCCAAAAACAACAGTGTAGAAGGCTTTCATTAAGCAATACAAAACTCAGTTACAAATATATATCCTAGTATTTGGAAACTGATACCTTGCTTAATGAAGGAAGATTTATTTTAAAAAAGTATATGCTGAACAAAGAGACAAATCAACAAGCAAAAAAAAAAATGTGTAATACAAAGAATGAAAAATTTCAAATATAGGTACAAACCACAAAATCTTTTTGCACAGCATTGCCATGAATCTACATACATTTTAAATGTATTCAAATTTTTTTTTTTAAGATTTTTATTTCTTCGTTCAGAGAGAGAGAGAGAGAGAGAGGCAGGCTCCATGCAGGGAGCCTGATGTGGGACTCAATCCTGGACTCCAGGATCAGGCCCTGAGCTGAAGGCGTCACTAAACCGCTGAGCCACCCGGGCTGCCCTGTATTCAAATATTTTATATTTCACAATAAAGGCTTTTTAATTTTGTTATTCATTTTCCATGTTTCATTATGTCCTTTTTAATGAATTTTTATTTATTAAAATTTTATTCATTTTTAAATTTTTTGTGATTTTACCTTTTATAGCAAAATTGCCTTACAGACAGCTGTGTGGTAAAAATGCTTGTGGCAAAGATGTCTACAGCCAAGATACTTACATGGAAAAGACCCAACACATTCCCAGCCAGTAAGGTCTCCTGTTGTACATCTCAAGCACTCTGCCCTTACTACAGGAGGTGAGGAAATAGGGAAAGGAGGCAGGTGAACTCTTCTGCATCTGCTGAGACCTCTTTCTAAAATTTTTGTCCTATAATTCTCTCCTCTGCATCCTCCTCTGACTGCACTCACCATTTGCTTTATCAAACTTCTTGAATATAACATACCAGCTCTCAAGAAGAGTATTAATAAAGAAGATAGAACAAAATTGTCCTTAGCTGAGCCCCCAATTTATCCTTTGGTTCCAAGGTAAAATTGTCTTTTGAGTACCTCTACCTGACTCCTTGTCCCTAGTCCCAGTGCACAGTACCCTCAATTCTGCATCAGTCACAAAAATTCACACCTTGAGGTTGAACTGATCAGCACTGAATCCCAGCCCCATGGAGCATTTAAGTCCACCCAGAGTCAGTCCATAGGCTAAGTTATGTGCTCCCAAAAATAGTTTCCAGGACTCCTCATCTATACATGGAGTCCCTTCTTGGAGGGAGCTCAGAAGTCATCAGGCCTTATACAACTCCCACATCCTACCTTCCATCCTGGTTCCTCAGGTACCTCTCAAGAAGACAACATATGCAAGTATTCACAATTCCTAGGTGTAAACTAAACGTGGTCAGTATCATGGCCAATCACATAATGACACTTTCATTAGCTAGTCTCACACAGGTTACTCTAATCTCATAGCTTGAGACTGAGTCATTCACTTTTGGGATTTTCCTTTCCTTTTTTTTCTTTTTCAAATTGCCATATAGAGATGCTCTGGGTGGCTGCATCCAGTTCCTGCTAAAACTTTTGTCTCATTAGCTCCCCAAATGGTCAGTGTTACATACCCCCCTCTACCAACATACATCCATCATGGGTATATATGTGATGATCTCTAATAACGTAGGTCAGGCCTTTACTGCTAATAGAGCTCTTCTTAATTATATAGATCTTCTAGTTTATCCCTCCTTTTGCCTTTATCACCCAACTTCCATAGTGATCTCTTCTATTTTGGCTCCAATACCTCATCTACTACTCATTCATAATCCCAACATAACCCAACATACCAAATCAAATACAGAATACTCGGTTACATTTGTATTTCATTTTTAAAATGAATAATTAAATTTAAATATGATTTTAAAATTATGTATTTTTATTAGAAATTCAAATTTAATTTGGCTTCCTATATTTTTATTTGCTTAATCTGGCAACCTTACCTCTACTGCCATATGGTTTGAGCACCCCCACCACCACTTTGCTAATATGCTCCACTAAACATGATATCTAGCCACAAATTCCAACAGTCTTATTATAGCACAGTTATTGACCCTCTCTGTAACTACTACTGAAGATTTCCTTCTTGGAAATTTTTCTCCTTCTCTTGGTCCCAGTTTTCCAGCTTGAAGGCAAGATTTTGTTCCCAGTTCTTCACTCCTTCTGAAAGAATTATACATACTCAGACCCATTGCCATGCTGCTTTGCAGTGCCTCACAACAGAAGAGGCTGAGAATTTATATACCCCTGGCCCATTGACTTTGGCCAGATGACTTATTTCTGTGTTAGTTATTTCACTAACGGGGAAAGTTAAGTGGATGTGACATAAGTAGAGGCCATTCTCTATGGGAAGAGCTTTCTGCAGGTGGACACTGCTCATTCAACCTGGTCCTTGAATAAGAGACATGTGGAACAGACCTGAACCCAACTCCCAGGCTGAAACAGAGCTGCCCCAGCTGACCTCCAGATCTGTGGATGATTAAAAAAATCAAAAGGTTAATTAGGTTAATTAAAAGTTAGATATTTAATTGTTATACTAAGAGTTCAATTAATAAAACCATACTATAGAACATCTGTTGAATGGAATAATAATACTACCCTCTTCATAGCATTAGTTTGAAGATTAAGGTAAGTAGTAAATATGTGAATTCTTACGATAAAACCTGAATTCATAGTAAATACCTAATAAATGTTAGTTGTTATAACTGCTATACATCAAATACTAATATTCATCAAATGTGTGAAAACTGCATATGAATCTAGAACTCTTAGGCAAATCTAGCCTTTAGTGCCTGCTCTATTCCACCCAACAACGCTGCTGCAATGTTTCTTTCCTGTACAGTCAGGTAAGTCTAGAGGAAGGTTTTTTTTTTTTTCCACTCAGGCCACAGAAGTACTAACCTCCACAGCCCATACCACATTTGCTTTCTTCAGTCCAATCCTGGCACCTTCAGTGGGGCTAATTACTCACTCCTTTTCTAAACCAACCTTGCATTTAGTCAGTACCACCTCCTGGAAAGCAAACAGAGAACTCCATCTGACCTAGCCCAGCAAAACTACTCTCACCAGCATTTTTAGTACCATTTCCTAGATAATTTAGTTAACAATTCCTGCAATGTTTCTACCCCAGGAATTAACCTTTTAATGTTCTCTGACTGCCTTCAGCTATGTGAGGTTACCAGCCTATACTGTACGCAC